AGTATGCCAGTCGGCTCTATCAAAGCACCAGCATGGGGAGTTAGGAAGTGGTACGTATGAAGTAGGAGAAAGGAGAACTGGAAAGTGGTCACTATAGGGAAAGTGGTCTAAGAATGACCAGTGGAAATCTATATGAAGAGAAGGGGAGCATAGAGAGAGGTCAATGCATGAAAAAGATTGCGTGCGTGTATCAAAGTGTGTGGGGTGATCTGAATTTAGAATAGTAAGGTCAGCTGTGGAGAGGAAGCGCTCAAGAGATCGGCCTCGGGAGTTGGTAATAGAATCACCCCAAAGAGTGTGGCAGGCAGTTAAAGTCGCCCACTATGAGGAAAGGTGGTTGAAGTTGGGAAATTAGATTTTCAAAAGCAACAAAGTCAATGGGGTGGGAAGGGGAGAAGTAGACTGAAATCACTGTGATCCAACGATGAAGGAAGATACGAATAACTGTGCAAGGGACATTGGTTTGAAAGGGTGGTGTGACATAAGGTGTTTTCTGATTGATAAGTATGGACGAGACATAAAGGGAATGTGGGAGAAGAGACAAAATGATAATTGGGGATTGGTATTGGAGGATGTGTAAGAAAGGTTTCTTGAAGGCATACAATAGATGGGTTATAAGAGGAAAGAATATGACGAAGGTCAGGTCTGTGGGAGCAGGAAACCGCGAATATTCCAATGAAGGATAGTTAGTGATATAGAGTGATATAGACTGCAGTATGTGTTGGAGACTTTGAGGGGGTGGGATACGGACTGAGAGGTTTGAGATGGGAGAGGTGTGGGAGTTGGTGTTCTATCAGGAGGGGTATTAGGAGATGGAGGGTCTGAGGAAGGGGATACTTGTGACATAAGGGATTCACGTGTGTATCCAGGAGGGAGTGGAAGGGATAGAGGGGATGGTGGGAGGGTTAATGTCGGCGGGGTTGGGGTCGGGGGGGGATGGACTGTGTTGGGAGGGGGTAGAAGGATAGGGTGTAGGGGGGATATCGTTAGGAGGGGGATGGATATCAGCAGTTACTTGGAGTGTGGAAGGAGCAGGGGTTGTAGGTTGAGTGTCAGTTTGCATTCAGTAATCTTGAATATTTTCAATAGTTTCTTCTGAGGAGTTGGTTGGGGAGTTTTGGGGGATAAAGGATTTCTTGTGAGGGGGGGAAGAGAGGACTGGTGTCTCAAGAGTACGGGCAAAGGATGGTGGAGGTGATTGTGTGGTAGGGGAAGAGGGGGTGGAACGTTTGTTCTGTCTGTTACGGGGAGTGCGAGGAGGGAGAGGGGAAGGTGTTGGGGTTGTAGTGGTGATTGGAGTATCTGTAGTAGAGATTGGAGTTTCTGGATTTAGGATGGCAAAAGAGTTTGACTGGGGAAGGTAGGAGGTAGAAGTGGGGGGGTTAGATGTAGGAGGGGTGGGTTTAGAAGTGTTAGAATGAGCAGTATTACTGGAGTAAGGAGTAAGAGAGAATCCACGTCGACGTGCTTCCTGTCTGGCTTCACGCAGTGTGAGTCCAAGTTTGAATCTGAGAGTTGCTACCTCAGATTCAAATTTGTAGGTGGGACAACCCCTATAAAATACATTATGGGGGCCGCCACAGTTGGCACATGTGCGTGATTGTGCAGAGCAGTTAGATCGGGTATGGCCAGGTTGGGCACATAGTGGGCATCTGGCTGTAGAACGGCAATGTTTGGCTGGGTGTCCTAGACGCCAACAATTTTGGCACTGACGTGGAGGAGGTTGGTATGGACGAACAGGGAGGGATTCTCCTATGTAGATGTTAAAGGGAAGGTCATGTCTACGGAAGGTAATTTTGGCTATGTTAGTGGGTTTCTTTCGATGACCTCTGGGGGGAATGGAGTAGCATTGTACTGATGTTGCATCGTAGTCTGTGAGACAGGCAAGTAGATCTCCACAATCTGACCAATCTTTGTCATAGATTGGGCAATTTGCTGGGGAGATTGAGACTGTTCCAGGTGCAAGTATTGAGGGTTGGATGGGGTTCTGCAAGGATGGGGTTACCATATAGGTCAGTTAGTTTTGTTAATGCTATAGCTTGGTTTTCGGATGTTACTGTGACAAGACGGGAGCGGTCGGGTCGGCTACGGAAAGAGACTTTACCTACTTGTTTTTGGAGGCATTGTTGGAAGAGAAGGATGTTGTCAGAATAGGGAGCTGTGGGAGGGATCACGAAAAATCGTTCCCATTTGGCTGTACTAAAGAGAGTATTCAAGATTGTTTTAGAGATAGGGATGGTAGAAGGGCGGGGGCGTGACGAAGATGGAGTAGTGTTGAGGGAGGTAGTGTTATGGAGAGGTGGGCTATAAGTCTGTAAGGTATTAATAAGGGAGGATGGGGTGGTTGATGTTGGAGGTTGTGGGGGTAGAGGTGTTGAAGTTAAGCATGCTGGGAGAGTGGAAATGTTCCTTGAGGGTTGATTGTTGGCTACTGTACTAGTAGGCATTGGTGAAGGGGTAGTTATTGCAGTGTTCGGAGCCGTGGTCAAAGGAGAGCCTGGGGTCTGGGAATCAGGTGGGTTTACTTCGTTGGGGCTATTTGATAAAGGGGCAAGCCTCATTGCCCCTAACAGTGGGGATATATTTTCATTACTGGCCATGGTAAGCCTGGATTATGTTGGGGATAAAAACAGTCCACCCCTCAGAGTCCCCTTGAGGGGTAAGGGCTAGATAACTAAAATCAGGGGAATACCATGCCCATGGCTCCCTCTGGCCGTTCAGGACTGGCACAAAGTCAGCCTTTCATCCTTTCAGCACGGCTCTCACACCTTAGGAGGTGGATAGCAGAAGGGTTTGGTGAAGGGACAGAAACAAAAGTGAGAAGGGAAAAAAAAGACCATGCATAATTAGTTGAGTCGAGGGCTGAGTCCCAAGGTTGGGGAGTTCCCCATCATTGGGTCCCAGTCTCCGCCTCCTAAGCCCCCCCACGACAACAACGGGCAAGGGATTGGGGGGGATATATTATATATGTATTATATATATTACATATATTTTATATGTATTATGTATGTTTTATATATATATATATCATATATTTATATGATATATATATATATCATAAATTCATATAGATATGTATACATGTATTATATATATCACACACGCACACACACACACACACACACATATATATATATATATGTCTATATATAGACATATATAGAAATATTATACACTCTATATGAATATTATATATATTTCATATATATTATGTATATATATACTATATACAGTATGTATATATATATATGTATATATATATCATATATCATATATATATATATATATATATCATATATCTGTATCATATATATATATCATATTTTCATACAGATATGTATACATGTATTATACATATATATATATATATATATATATATATATATATATATATATATATTATACATATATATATATATCATATATGAATATACATATTATTATATTACTTATTTTTATCCTTTGCAAATTCTTAATAAAACACGAACTAATAACATTACGAAAATGATCGAGGAAAGGGAGTTAGGACATAATCTTAATTCTATAATTTATCATTTCAAAATGCGGTTTATATATATTTTATTGATTTCATCCTTTTATAACTTCTTATTATATAATTTTATAGACATTTTTTTCTTAAGAGAGCCACCTTCAATTATAGCGACATCAAGAATGATACCCAGTCAACAGCGAAGGCAGTATGATAATGTGATTCAGTTACCCCCTTATTAATATGAATGACCCTAAGCTCACAAAACCACTCATCTGTCGCGGTTTCTAGGTTACTTAAATCTTTCCCGTCTCTCGTTAACTTCGGCTCACTACCGAGCAGCAACTGAAAGGGGGAGTATGTAGTCATAGTTCCGAGTGGCATGGTTGATAAGATCACTTCCTCTCACGTTATACATGGTTACAAGACCAGATATATAGTCGGACCATCTCCTATTAGAGGAATCCTCTAGCGTGACAAATATATGTAAATTTACCCACAAAGGGATGTGGTTTCGTGGATTCTTTCGCCACACTGCGTGTATTGCAGTCCTCTTTCCTTTACGAGGTCAAGGGTACAACTACGTCCTTGATCACCGAACTCATCATGACAAGCACATGTAACAATTAATTGTAATTTTGGTGTCAATACAGATCTAATTAGATATGAATCAGTACCTATGTTAATCTTGTGGAATAATATACCCCTCTCATTCACTAAATTACTTTTTGCCTGATATAGTTATTGTTAATCTTCATCTATAACTGTTATATTTTTTGTCTTGTGTTATTTCTCCGTTAAGTAATATTCTTCATTCACCATATTCTTCATCACTGTCACTAATTTGTGTCTGGAGGTAATCTAGACAGTTCGTCTGCCACTGTATTGTCATTACCGGTCTTGTATTCAATCGTAAAATTTAATTGTTGTGAGTTACTGTACCACCTGCTTTCTACTCCTAATCGCGTTGTTTCTGAGTGATTCAGAGGCGAATTTTAGTGCTAGTAGTTCAAGTTTACGCGAACTATAATCATATATATACATACATAAATACATACATACATACATATATAGATAGATAGACAGGTAAATATAATATAATATACATATGTATATAAATCTATATATATATATCTATATATTCATATATAAATATAAATATAAATAAAAACATTATACATATATATATATATATATATATATATATATATATATATATATATATATATATATAGGTATATATATATGTATTCATACATATAATATATATAATATATACATATTTATATCTATATATCTATATATAAATATACATATATATATATCTATATATATTTAAATTTATGTATTCATATATATATATATATATATATATATATATATATATATATATATATATATATATATACACACACGTGTGTATGTATTACATTAGTCAGTTTTACTGCTAATTATGTAGTCAGTTTTACTGCTAATTATGAAGTAAAACTGGAAACTTTTCAGTACTTACTTCAATCAAGTGTGGACGCGCCAAAGATGGAGTACCTCCTCCAAAGAACACGCTTTTGATTGTAGAGATGTACGAACTCCGAAGTGCATTCTGAAGTTCCTTAACCTTTAAAGGAAAATGAATTCATGAAAAAAATAACTGTCGCAGTTTACTATATCCATGATTACTTACGCGTATAGTCATGCGTGATGTGTCTATCTGTGAACTGGTGTAATATCCATTAAAATAAAATTAATTTTATGCAATCCTTTGGGTTCTATGTAATTCTAATAAGACATTATTTAAAGTTTAAAACATGGTTCCTGTAAGTATTTTCCTTTTTATTAGACGAACGCTCTGAATTGCTAACCAGAAGTGTTGGAGATCACGAAAGTAGGCGTTTTCAGTCATACCTCTCACAGATCATGCTGCCCACCTGCATTCTTTTTTTCTTTAAAACTTCCAAATGAAATATTAATGCCGGGCTTATGGTAGTGGTTCTCAATATCTAATATCTCTGAGAACTCATTAACAAATATTCTTTTTAGCTTTATATTGAACTCTAGCAGAAAGTAACAGGATTCATGCCCTATAGAAATGGAAAATCATACCTGAAAAGAGCGATTTTTAGCTTGTTTCTGTAAATTGTTCTAAGCCTATGTATATTTATGAGTATATTTAGGAAACTGCTGATGAAACTGATGATGATTATAGAAATATATTAAAATTGAAAGAACCTTCCAACTTTATATATACACATTAAATACACAGTATATTTGCAGTTTATATATATATACAATATAAATAAATATATAATATATATATATATGCATACATTATATATATATATATATATATATATATATATATATATATATATATATATATATATATATACATATTTAACCCATTGGCTCATTGCATACTTAGTACAAGTGTAGCCATCTATGTGTAAAAACAATCGAACAAGTCGACTCACAGTGGCATGGCATGTACGTACATGCCATCCCCGGCGGCAATGGGTTAATATATATATATGTATATATACATCTATCTAATATATATATGTATATATACATCTATCTAATATACATATGTATATATACATATATTTAATATATATATATATATATATATATATATATATATATATATATATATATATATTAAGTATATATATATACTCACACACACACACATACATACATACATACATATATATATATATATATATATATATATATATATATATATATATATATATTATATCCATATAATAAGTCGTTTCTCATTTCCGTATAATAAATAATGAAGCAACGTGGATCGTGGGCCGATGGGACTCCGGACTTTGAAGAATAGCGGCGGTATTCATGAAAGGTCTAAGACTCCGAAATTCGTCTTAGACAAAAAATAGTTAATGCTGGTATTAAAATTAACATTTACATCATTATAGACTCAATGAAGATAACTGTTGGAGTACGGTTATAACTACATGCTGCAATAAATATTACCTTTACAATGATAATAGTATTACACATTTTATATATTCAACTAAAATTTGGGCAACAGTAAGTTTGTTGTCAATGTATTAACTTTGAAGCCGTCCGGCGCCATTTGTATTTTCGCATAGAAAATTGCTCTGTATAGAGACCAGATCAATTAATGTGACTATCTTCATATGTGCTTGACTCGGCAAAATTGTCCTCGACTCACCACGAAAATGTCAAGGACAGGCACATTTTTGTCTAAGACTCGGCCAAAGTTTTAGGAAGTGTCCCAGTACACAAGGACTGTCTTTAAAACTTGTATATGTTTCCTCAGCATCACCCAACCCGCCTCGGGCGATGCACGAATTAGTTGAAGGTCGGCCAATAAAGAAATACCACATGACCTTGTATACAGCCTCCGGGCTAGTACAATGGTAACGTGCCGGCCTTTCATCCAAGGGGTCGGTGGTTCGCGCCCCGCCCGGGTGCGGGAAGTTGCAATTGTCGCCTGGAGGTTACTGCTGTGGCTGGGCACCACGGCGGCTAAGGTCTAAGCCGAGTCAGCACCAGCTGACACACTATTAGCGATTGACATTAGTCGACACAGGCCGGGCTCCCCTCATAGCCCGGGCGAGGCTCAGCTTCCCATATCAGACTTATCCTTATCCCTATATATCCTTTATCCTGAGACCTCATACATGGCGCAGTGATAATAAAGAACTTACTAATCCAAGATACCTCTATATTGCTCAGTGGACGCCAAGAGTGCAGATGCCTGCTGTCCCTAGCAGCCTAATGTCGGTGCTCTTGGAGGCGAGGCAGACAATCGCAGCCCAGCAGAACGCCATCACGACACTGCAGCCAGAGTTTGCTAATCTTATTGCGTGTGATTCAGAAGGATCCACGTCCTGGGTGCCTCCCTCAGCCGCTCAGAAAAATGCGACTTGGAGATGTCTGCTGTAGCTTTCAAATCATGGAGATAATCCATGAAATGTTGGCTCCTCTTCTGCAAGTGGCCCCCACAGGAAGTAGATCATCACTCTTCCGTGTTTCTGCCCTGCAGCGAGCCGTGGACGCCAAATTTACATTTGAAGAGTGGAGTGCATTAACTCAAAAACTAGTGGGAAACTAGTCATACAACTGGCACCGCATGCGCCGGGGAGGAAGACGGCCACACCCCCAATGCTGCCGCCTCTATAGTCAACAAGGCACAACTCACATGGCTCTGTGGAAACTGTGGCATGACACATGTCCCAGACAAGACCTCATACCCAGCCAGGGATGCAACTTGCCTCAATTGCTGAAAGTGAGGTCACTTGAGATGTTGCCCGGGCTCGAAGCATGGGACAAAAGATTCAGCAGTAATGGCCCAAACAATGTGTACTCTCATTGTAAACTAAGTGATTTTAAGTGAGAGCTAATGGTAGTCTTTTGATGTAAATGTGCAAAGTAATATCTATAAATGCCGAAATGAACACACGTTTGCTTAAACGAAACCATGTCTGTGCACGCACACACAAACAAGCCCTTACATAGTTACCCTCGTCCACATTACATGCACGCATCCTGCACACACACGCACACGCACGCACGCACACACACACACACGCATGTGCCTGTGCACACAACACGTACCCTTCCCACATATAAACACACATGTGCACATACACAAACACAAACACAAACACACACACACGCATGCACCTACACACACATGAATTCTTGTCTATGTTTCGAAGACATAAATATGACCTTGAATTATGAAAGTTAATAAGATCATATTCATAATATTGGTAGAATTCAAGTGGATTAATTCTAACAGACGCTGACAGCTTTGAAAGGATGTCCAACTTGAGCATAGGTTATATTTTCAGAATGTTTTTTTTTTGGTTACAGATTCTCGAATTTAGGGGTTTGGTCTGATTCCTGAAGAACAACATATCCACCTATGAGAGAGGGATTACATTTTGACTAAAAGTTAACACTCATTATCCTATCCTACTGTGGCGGACGCCACAATCACCTCACTCGGCATCGGCGCAGCCTCACTCGGCATAGTTGCCTCCGCACCGAGTCAGCCGTAGTGACTCGTCATGGTATTTCACTCTCTTGCTTAGCTCACTCTCTGGAGGGGGAGTATCTGTGGCACGACCCCACAACATGAAGTTCAGCATACCTCCCAGTTTGGGTCATATCAGCTGTCTTCGCACTCTCGGCAGCAGGTACTTCTCTCGACTCACTACAGAAACCTGACTGGCTGACACAGACACCTCTCGGCTCTCTTATTGGACCACGGACTCCCCTCATTCCCTGCTGGTTTACACAGCCCTCGTGTATTTGAGCCGCAGAATCCGGAACGGAGATCTGAGGAGAATCAGCCTTTGGGTGGCTGTTTCACTGGAGAAGAGTGAGCAAAGGGTTCCACATAATGTTGCCTCTTCTTGTATGTGGAAGGGTATCCACTCTGGTCTTTCACCAAGGGTTCACACCTACCCATGAGTTTGCTATGACAGCCTTGCGCGCTGTGGAGACGGGAGTCCTGGAGGCTTAGCGATGCCATGTATAAGTATGCCCTGCAGCTAGCAACACGGCTCTTTGGCCCCTTATTCCAGCAAGACGGGTGGTCAATCAACTGGTCTCCTTCAGGAAGCTAGGGTCAAGCAGTCTTGGCACATGCACTGGACCGTGAGTGCCATTACAATGGAAATTGGCCACGTATATCCTCTCATCAAGCCTGTAGCTGGTGAGAGGATGAACGAACTGCCGAATTTCATAGCAAACAAACTAAAAAAAAAAAAAAAAAAAAAAAAAAAACAGAAAGAGATGACCGATGATGAACCATGCAAGGCCCAGACCATGACAGTCAGTTTGAAGCCATACAGTGGCAAGAAAAAATCCAAAGCACAGGATGACTGTTACACCTGCTGCTAAAATAGACAAGACAGAGAACCCACCAGTCACAAACATGTTTGTCCATGCAACTGTCCAGCAGACGGACTCTTGTGCTCGCCTCTCCAGGCCTGCACTCAAATCATGAGTTCCCCTCAGACATCCTCCCTGACCGAAATGGGAGCATAAGCTGAACCAGCCGGAAAAGCTGCTGCTCCCACGATCAAAGCCCAAAATCGTAGCTGAAAGGGTGGTCCGAAACGACCTTGGCCGGATACAGACTCTGAGGGAGAGTCTGGACCCCCATGGCATTTCCCACAGTTTAAAGTTCCCACTAAACCTGAAGGATTTGACAATGCCTACCAACTGGTGAGACCATTGGAGATGCAGAGGAAAATCCAGTTGTTAATCCGGAGGAAAGTGTCTCTCACCACTGAATCCCGATGATCGGAGAGTCAAGATGTTGCTACTTGGCTTCTCAGTTTCGTATGATGTGGATCTGATCACATCACACTCATAGGTCGTGGAGGCTACCCGAATGTCGAAAGGGAAGACCCCAACCAGGCAGGTCCTGGTGACCCTGAAAGGAGCCCCAATCACTACTCTTGATCTCGGTAACTGAAGCACCTTTAATCAAAGAACCTATGTGCCTGAGCCACTTCGGTGCTTTAAGTGTCAAAAATGTAGTCATCACCAGGCTAGTTGCAAGGACAAGCCCAAATGTGGTGTCTGTAGCAAGGCACATAACATCAAGGTTTGCCTCAAGGCACACAAGGAAGGGCAATGGGACACATCAGCCAAATGTCCCTACTGTGCCAAGAGGCATCATGCCTGGAGCCTGGCTTGCTCTGTCAGGAAAGAGGCAGCCCACAGGTGACCAGACTTTGTTCCTGCTCCCCCAGGCACCCATGTCTGGGAACAGAACAAAAGAGAAAAGGCTTTCTTACCTCCTAAGAGGAAGGAAGCTCCTCCCCAATCGACACCAACTATCTCCAATAATAAGGAGTTTCCGGCTATTCCAAAAGTGCAGAAAAAGAACCAGAGGAATAAAGGTATAGAAT